CTCCTAATTTTGTTTTAATGGAGGCTGTATATAAGTTTAATGCTAACCCAGAAACAGACTGTTGAATTGAGTGAGGAAATGGGAGTAACACTGGGAAATGAGAAGGTGAATGCTTGTGAATATGTAGCGCACAGCAATACCTTTATTACGGATTTTTACCTCTCAGTGGCAGAACAAGGATAGCTATTTGCTCAGCTAATGGAAGCTGAAGTGGTGCAAACACATTTTTAAGAGCAAAACAAGGTAAAGGTTTGAGCCATTCACCACTATAATGTACAATAATATATTTGTCTATAAATTGAGCTGTTGCAAGTAAATACCACCCTCTTTGTAAAGTGAATAAATATACATCTCCTTTACCAAATACCTGTCCCGTGGTGTTTGTTGAGAGAGACCTTACGTAGCTATGGGGGGTGATTAAGGATGAAGTGTTCTTTGTAAAAAGCTCATTTCTAGTGGAGGAGGAAGCCAGCCTAAAATGTTACGTGATGTTCTGCGAAGTACCTGTTGTTGCTGCTTTCTTAGCTTGTGTGTTTCGGTCCTGTTCACTGGTATGCCCACTGCTTAGGAACAGAAGTGGAGTTGCAGTGTTGTCTGGAGGCATTAACAGGTTGTGTTACTGACAAGGCTGGAAGAGACATGGTTGGACTTCATGATCTTAAAGGTCTTTTCCAACCTAGTTGATTCTATTTATCGAATCACAGTTGATTCTATGATTCAGTCTTTGGAAAGCTGCAGGTAAAAGGGCAGTGGCCAGAGGCTTCCAGTTTTTGGATGGTTTTAACTGACAGTAAATTAGTGTCCTAAATAATTTGTTAATTTGCTGGACATTTAGTTGAATTCTGAGATGCTGTGAAAAAAAACGCTTGTGCAAGTACAGACTTGACTGTACCCTCACAAGCCACCAAATTAGGCTGAAGCGATGTGTTTTTAACCAGTACTGATGTTCCTGGCTGGCTTCCAATCAGGAAAGAGGTGTGTGATTGAAGTGCTGTTCTGCTGAGCTTTTGGGGCATGGAGTAACAGAAGAAGCAGTTGTCTTGATCATGCAAGGTCCTTCCGGTATCTGTGTCCCAGCCTTTCCAGAGGTTGAAGTAGGAGCCCTGGGTTAGGGTCAAAGAGCAGGCTGAGTATCTTGTTGGCACTGTTTGGGTATAGGCAGTGGTGGCATGGGACACTTGCCACCACTTCCCAATGTACCTCTAAGGTAGAAATCGTTGCACAGCATAAGGGATTTTTGTTTGCTGTTTTTTCACGTGGTGGTGGCCTTATTTCTAGGTTTTAGGAGTGAATACATTTTGAATGCGATGAGAAGCATGGCCAGAGGGTGTCACACCAGCTCCACAAAAATTCCTAGCAGATGACCAGCAACTTCTGAAGTCTAAAGGCGGGAAAAAAGAAAGGGGACCAAACATGCCAAAACAAAAAGATGCCACGATTAAGAGAGAGTTGATAGATAGCCTACCAGCTGTCTTGATGAAGGGAACAGCGGGAGTATTATCATAGAATCACAGAATTATCATAGAATGGTTTGGATTGGAAAGGAGCTGAAAGATTATCTAGTTATACATAAATAGTAACACACAATCAGATAAGGTATGGGGGGGTGTGTGTGTAAATAATGTCGATGCTGCCTCGTGGTGCTGGTGGAGCAGAGAAGTAAAGAATGCACCTGAAGGGAGCTGCTGTGGGAGAGATGCAGCTGGGTCATGGAGTGTATGTAATGAGGATATTCCAGCTGTGGAGGCAGGTTGGAGCTGTGAAATATGAACTCACTCCTCTAAATGAGATAACAAGGTTTTGTGGAGGGACAAAGTCAATAAAGCAAAAGCAACAGCACTGGGCGCATGACCGTAGCCAGAGGCGTGAGTGGTTAATATTTGTTACAGGTTTATATACTTTCACTATTACATTAGTTACATACATATTCATAATTCCTGTGTATAGGCGGGGGGGGGATACTATAACTAGCTCCAAGACTTTATTATCATAAGTCTCCTCCTCTTGTTGTCTGCACACTGCTCTGAGGTAATTGTGGGCAGGGGTCTTGAGGATGAAGTAAACAGTCTTCCTCTTGTGAGTAGGGGTCTTCAAGATGAAGTAGGCAGTCTTCCTCACAGTGTGCTTTTCACCTTGGGCACAGTTGGACCCCCCAGCAATCACACAACCAGCTATATCTGTAATTATTCTGTTAACTAGTAAAGATTTAAAACAGTGTGACCTTCCTGCAAAATTTACTGCAGGATGGGCAGACAAGGGGTATCCCAAGCTAGCAGATGGTTGGGAGGCTCTGTCTCTAAACTAACTGGTAAGTAGAAGGATGGTGTGAAATCATACATTCATGTTTAGTAGGGCCACTCAATCCTGTTATCTCACCACAGACTTACAACACAAACATTGTTCTTTAAAGATACTTTAGAACACTAGTGTGAAACAATTAATTCATGTTTAGTGGGGCCACTACATTCCACAGACATACACCATAAACATTGTTCTCTTTCTACAACCTAAGTTATGCTAAAAAAGTACTGAAGTCCCTCTCTGCACCGCTCTGCTTCTCGATCGTTCGGTGGGGATTTCTGTGGCGATTTTGGTGTTGGAGACAGGCAGCTGGAGGAAGGCGGACACCCGCCTCTACCTCAGATGCCGCTTCCCGCCGCCATTTCACCCGCCTTCCGCGCCTCCGCAGCGTTCGAGTCGTGCTGCGGCTGAGGGATGGAGCGATGGAGCTCACACACACACGGGCGGTGCCGGGGTTGTCCCAGAGCCGCTTGCTGCCCCGTCGGCTCCTCGGCACCCTGACGGATGGAAAAGCCGTCGCAGGACGCTCAGCCGCCGGCAGCACCGGAGCCGGCCCCGCCGCACCTCTGCCCTGAGGCAAAGCGTTCGCGCTCCCTCAGCCCTGAGGCAAAGCGCTCGTGCTCCCTCAGCCCTGAGGCAGAGCACTCGCCGTTCCTGAGCCGTGTGGCAGAGCGTTTGTGGTTCCCCATCCCTGGGGCAAATTGCTCGTGGTTCCTCAGCCCTGTGGCAGAGCGTTTGCTCGGGCTTCCTGAGGTGCTGCAGGTGCTGTAGGTAACGCAGCAGCGCTGTAACTGCAGGCGCCTTAGCTACAATGGTGGCTGTTTCAATTGCTTTTTTCTTTCCCAGAAGATGGCGTATCTGGAAATATGTGCCTTGTGGTTTGAGTTGTAGGTCAAAATAACTCATGCATGTGTTACAGCGTCGACATTTTTCTATGGAAAAGCCTCTTGCAGATTGGTGGGGAGAGCTAGGGAGAATGATTACATGCCACTGTCCAGTATCGCTAGTCCAGTGCGGGCCCTGCAATCCAGGCACGCTTGCATTAAAAAGGAGCAAACTGTTGTATCCCCTGTTTTTAAGGATGTTCTTGGGGCAGGTCCAGTGTGACATTATAGATCTTTGTTATCAAATGTGTGAAACCATGAGGCAGTGGCCAAAACTCCCACCATGCTGTGCTGGGTCCAGCAGCAGCGCCCACGTTGGGAGACTTGCCTGTGGTGCCATGCCCATAGAGCCATGGAAAGAGCAGCTGCTGGGATGGAGTTGCGCTTCCCCTGTTACGCTGACAGCAGTCTTCCTCCAGCATTTGGACGTTATGGCCAGGATTTTGACAGAATGTGGAAAATGCGTGGCTTAAATGTGTTCTTATGTTGCTCCAACAGCAGCTGACTTGAGCAGTTTTGTATGCAGGAACCCTGTGGGCAGGGCAATGCCAGGGATCAGTGGCTGTCACTTTCACTAGCAGTGTTGTTTTTCCATGCCGACTCCTGATAGTGCAGCGGACCCCACTGGCAGGTGAATCAGGCCCAGCAACCAGTAGCACACCGAATAAATCCTCATCTGCAAAGAATCCATTGCCCTCGTCCCCTGACAACACAAGATGATTTGCAGCAGGTGAAGGGCTGCAGCATACTGGAGACTCCTTCAGCCAGGGCTTGTTGCAGTCCTGTTCGCGCAGCCTCTGCCTGGAGGATGCTTGCCCACAGCAGCAGTGCTGGTACCTAGGAATGCTGCTGTGCTCAGGGAGGCGGAGCACGTACAAAAGCTGTATTCGAAACACTGATCAGGAGACCCTGGAGATACTGGTGAGTGCAGCAGCTGTTCTTCATGGTGTACAAGTGAGAGCCCAGCCTTAGAGACTGGTTAATGGGGAAAGACGTTGTCCACAGCAAGGGGCAGGGAAACATGCTGTGAATAATTCTGCATTTTCAGGAACAGCCAAGGTCAGAAATCTTTTGAGGCAAGCCATGTTTATGTTGGCTTTGAGTGTCTCTGCAGTAAAGAAAGCAGGGAATAAACCCCTGTAACAGCAAAGCAGAACAAAGGAGAATGTTTGGAATGACAATCTGCATCCGTAGAGATACACTAATCCAATAATCCCACTGCATATTTAGCATATCTAGTGCAGAATGCAAACCTTCTTTTAGTTATAACTCCTGGTGATTGTTTGTGTCCTGTTACTTCCTTTATTATGAAGACAAATAAACCCCAAGCAAGACCCAACCCAAACTTGAGTGGGAATTACGTTAATGAAGGACTTGCAAACTAGCTTTGAAACTCATGTCCTTACTAGTTACTGTCAAATTCTAGAGACCATTGTGGGTTGCCACCCTTTGAGAGGAAGGAAATCCTGCAGTAGTGGATGGGCAACAAGTGGATCATATGCAAATGTGTAGGACTGAGGTGTCAAAGTTCTGGAGTGTGAGCGCCTCAGTGCAGAGCAGTGTGAGGTCAAAGAGACCTGTGGGCTCCCTGTTATCTGATGGGAGCCCAGAGGACACCGGTATTCCTCTGGTGGCTCTGTGGAAGTGGGTAAGCATTGTCCACTGGCCTGCTTCAAGTGACTGCTAGCACGGGCAAGTTTCCCTGTGCAGTTTCCAAGAGATCTGTCCAATGAAGTAGCTAGCTTCAGGTGCTTTAGCTTTGCAGTGCTGATTCTGTTATGCTTTGCGTCTTTGCTTTGCAGGCCTGACTGACTGCAGGAGGATGAGGAACGGAGAGCAGAAGCAGCGGAGACCCGGAGCAGACAGTGAGGACAGTGATGGAAAGAAGAAGGAGCCGATGTCAATGCCAAAAGCCTATAAAGTAAGGACACATGGCACCAAGCCAAGTCATGTGTCAGAGATCTTCATTTTATTTCCTGTAGGCAGAGCTCTTAAATTTTCTTACTCTGTGGTGCGGGCCCAGGGAAGCAGCTGAGCCAAGGAAGAGCTCAAGTGGACATTGAGCTTCAGGCTGTCTTTGCAGCGTGCCGAGTGTAGACTTCATGTCCTCAGTGAGTATAAATACAAGAGGTCTTTAAATCATTGCTGTGCTCTGTAGTGGCTCCTGCTGTGTTTTATGAGTGAGAAAACACCATCAACCTGTTGGAGCAACTAAATGTGTCTAATGGGGTCAATCATATTCTTGTCCAGTTAGCAAAATACACGTATCTGTGCACCATCTGTGTCACTGTGGTGACTGCTGCCGACACACCAGTATCTTGGAGGTTTTTCAAATCAGCTTTGTCAAGGTTAGATGGGAAAAGATGTTTGCTGGAGCAGGCAGTCCTGCAGACACAAGTCTAGATTGTCTCAGCTTTTGAGTTGTATGGCCATGTCCTTCTGCCCACTTGTTTCTAGTACGATTTCTAGACTTGCGTGAATTCTGCACAGCTTCAGCTTCTGCCGTGGGTGTGCCCAGGGGTGAGCAATGGGAACTGGTGATTCTGGCCATGGGGAATGGAGTCCAGACCTCATCCCCTCGACTGCCTTTGCAGGAGGCGCAGAAGCTGCAGTTGCTTTGGTTTTGCTGTGGTGGGCAGGAGAATGCAGACAAGTAACAGCTTGTGTACACAGGATAACCAGTAAAAGGCTAGAGTAGTTGATTTCAGCCTTGCAGATCCAGAGCCAAATATATCCCTGACATTAACTCTGTTGGCTTCACTGGAGTTTGAACAGGTCCTGATTTGGCTTTTTAGCTGTGCCAAGAAGAAAGGTGTACTGAGGAAGGGTGTGCCTCTGCCTTGGCTCGCTTCATCCCCCTTCCTAGCCATGGCATGGGGAGCCTGAAGTAGTTTCAGCAGGTGAAAACACATTAGACGGACCAGCAGGTTAGGGAGATCTGCTGAACTTAATAAATGACAGTGAGCTTGAGATGATGAATTTTGTGGGAGCTGGATAGAACTGAGCATCCAGAGAGCACATAAGCATCTGGGCCAAAAGGCTGGGGGGGAGCTGTAGGAAGGGCAGACTCAGAAAAAATCATGGGATTGAGAAAAGCACACGTTGGCAACGTGCAAAATGGCTGTGGGCACGTGGCTGGAGTTCAGTGCCGACTGGTAGGTTGCTTTAGGGACACTGAGAGGATCTAAATCCATTCCCATACAATACAAAAGGCTGATGGAGGCAGCGGCGCTCAGAACATCCTTATGCCAAGCAGGTGGATGCCAGGTGGGAATGCAGCCACTGTCAAAGCGGTGAGTGAGGGGAGATAGCTGGCAGCGGTGTGGAACAGTCTTTCCTTCACCACTTCCCTTCCTGTTGCCCATTGTAGGCCACCCTGCTCCATCGGTTTGACTTTTCCTGACAAGTCCTAGATAAGAGCATGGCTTAGCCACTTGTTGTGGCATCAGTGGGGAAGGCTGGATGCTGAGCACCGTGTTCTCCTATCTCCAGGCTTCCCAGCGATCCTGGTATTGCTGTGGTGGGAATGAGAAGATGTCACTGGGAATGCCTTTGATTCCCCCTATCCCAAAGTCAGCAAGACCATTGGATGAGGCTCCTCACAGCACTGCAGTGTCTCTCCCAAGCTCTCAGCACCTGTTTTTTCAGAAGACTCTGGAGATAAGGTAAGCCAAGGTGCTTGCTTCTCCAGTACGCCATTCACGTCACACTTGTTGTCTCTTGAGGTTGTTTTCCAGTCAGCTCTCCAACATATTTATGCAAACTTGTGTATGTTCACCATTTCACTTATCTATGATGATCCAGCAGAAAGTCCATACCAACAACATACGCTCTGAGAGCAGGGGGGGAGGAGGAGGCAGGGCTTAAGAGGATCTTAAAATCAGGTCCTCTGCTGGGCTCTAATACTGATTCATTCTGTAATCTTTGTGATGACATTTGGGAACTGTATTCCATGGTTCTGAATACAGCATCTGGGTTTGTGTGTCATCTTTGCCAATTTCTGTACCTGTAGGAATATTGTACCTGTAGGGCAAATATTGATTATTGTATAGCTGTCTGCAGAGTCAGATGCTGCTTCTGCAAATGTCTGTTGTAACTTCCGCTGTGTCTGGGCCTTCACTGTGAAATGAGAGCCCAGGTAAGTCTTGGCTTAGAAGTGTATAATCCTGTAGAGGTTTAATATTTAAATAGGTTTTAAGATCAAAGTGGACAAGGTGCTAGAGAACAGTTATAGGGCTGTAACTGGTGGAAAGATACTTGCTTGGATATGCCGCAGGAAATCTACCTGTCAACTTTATCCTTGTTATAACAATAAATAAGGAGTCATAGAAATATAGTTTCCATTTAAAAGCTTCAGCACAGCTTTTGAAGTGCAGTCTGAGTACACTTGCCTAGGAGTTGAGTCAGAAACCCCCTTTTCCTTCTTGAAAGAGCAGGGAGGTGTAATAGTATTCCCAGGAGACAGCAGTGGTATTACCATGTGTAACAAGATGCTTTCATCAGTTTAAGGCATGACCAGGCAAAGTTAGGCATCTGCAGCTGTATAGAGGTAGTTGCCCTTAATACAGACTTATGACTAGCTTAACATCTCTTGCTTGCTCAGAAAGGATGCATGAACCAGGAAGAGGCACTGAGCTCCAAAAGGAGAGAGAGCAGAACTGGACAGTTAGGGCCCAAAGTGAAGAGTGACTCCTGTGTTTCAGCTGGAGCTCGATGAGCTCTGTGTGACTCCGGCAACAGAAAGTTTAATGACAGTCAGCTCTGTATGCTGTTGGTTTTACAGGCTGCATTTCCCCCTTCATCATGATGCCAACACTAAGAAAGTTTGCCTCCTTTAATGCTACCTCCCGCCTTTCTGTCTCCTCATGTATTCTATTATTCTCCATTTTCTTAAGGCCAAGATCAGGCAGCAGAGGTGAAGAGAAGACCCTTAAACCTCTAGGTAGGTACTGAGCACGACTGTCCTAAAATGACCATAGGAATCCTGACCCATGTGGGTGGCACTGTGGAAGTTCATTTGAAAACCATCCTGTAACTCTTTCCTATTCCTTGATGTGCTCAGACAGCTTCCCCAGAGCCCAGTCACTGGGAAATGTGCTCTGGTGATCCGGTAAAAATGGCTTCAGCATGGAGTTATGAATGGCTGGAGCTGGAGGGATACCTTGGGGCTCTGGGAAAGCACAGCAGGAGAAGGAAACATTCCTCTACTTCGTGCTCATACCTTTCATTTCCCTGCACACTAATGGCACAAAGATTAGAGAAAAATGAGGCATTTTGCATGAAATGAGAAATGTTCCCACTCCTTCCTCCTACACTTTAAGGAGAAGAAGCTTCCCTTGCAGCAGTTTCTGAACCAAACCCTTAGAGATCTGAAGTACATTCAGGTTTTGCGTGGGGAGACATAGTGAAACCTTGTGTGACAGGAAGTCCTTGTGACTATTCGGTTTACAGAGGAAGACACTTAAAAAGGGTCCATCCTATACAGGATCAGAACTATCTGTTCTCTGGCAGCACAAACCTAAATTGAATGCTGAGGTTTACTTTGTGCAAGTCATTTACCTCAAACCACACGTGCTAGGTTTTTTGATTACAAATCTCTTCCCCTACTCTGTCTGCGTATGTCAATATTGCAAACTGCACCTGCGGTAGGCCATGCCAACTGGCCTCTCCATGCTCCCTGCCTTGCATTGTCATTAGCAGTAAGAGTTCTGCAAGACAAAATGCAGTGTATGGTGCAGCTGGTGTCAGCCAGTACTTTTAAGCTGAAATCCTCAGTGACACCGTTGCTGTCCCTTTGCCATCTGTGGGTTTGTTATGATAGGAGAGATGAGAATTTAGCAAATAATTTTGCTGATGTGGGAAAGGGGATAATACCCCCTGGTCCCTTAGTTCAGTGTTAGTTCTGCCAGATAATAGGCATGCCCCATAATAAAGGCATGACTCCTTTATTGTTGATATGCAGCTAGAATATCTGACTGCAACTAGGGACACCTCACTTGGAGTATTGTGTGCAGTTCTTGTGTCTTCAACATATAAAGGACATAGAACTGTTAGAACAAGTGCAGAGGAGGGCCACAAGGATGATTAGGGGACTGGAGCACCTCCCGTATGAAGACAGGCTGAGAAAGTTGGGGCTGTTCATCCTGGAGAAGAGAAGGCTGCATGGAGACCTCATAGCAGCCTTCCAGTATCTGAAGGGGGCCTATAAGGATGCTGGGGAGAGACATGTAAGGAATGATTCTCTTAACAGCTGCGTTAGCATTTCAGAATGAGTTTCACTGTGCTCATTCCCATTATGAACATCACACTTTAGTCAGGCTGCCCAAAAAGTGGCCAAAGGTGCTACAATTTAGAATGGAACTGCTTGGGGAAAATTAATTCTGTAGCTTCAATAACACAATTCTGGTTTTGGTAACATTCCAGCAATCTGAAAATTTTCAATACGGGCCCTCTAAAATATTCCTGCAAAGAGGAGGAAATATTGATTCCTACCTTACAAAGGCATACAGCTATTAAAACCCAGGAGCTCTTTAATAACTGGGAAAAGGAGGAAGATTACTGAAATCAAAATGGATAGGAACAGATAAAAATCTTTTTGGGAAGGGCAGTCTCCATCTCTCTGCTCTTCTCTGTCAAACACAGCTGCTCACCAGAAGCCAAGGGCTGAAGCCTTTATCACACAGTGGTTTTGAGTCTAGTGGACAACAGAGTACTGCTGTTTCTGCAGGCAGTGCAATATGACAGTACCTCCCATCTTTTTTGAAGAGTTTACATGCACCACCTTGGTTTTCTCATACACAATCTGTATGTGTGTCTTACCAGGCCTCCCTCGTGAACCCATCTTGCCTGTTCTCCAGCATCATGTTGGTGGTGGCAAGACATCTGAGAGAGGTTTTCATGAGCCAGTAGCTCCATTACGTCTCCTACCTATCCAGGCCAAGGAGATGGATCATGAGCAAAAAACCAATGCCATTTATGCTGCCAGTGCAGTATGGCAGTACCCCCCATCTCTTTGCAGAGGTTATTTGTACCTCGCTGTTCTCATGCATAATCTGTATGTGTGTCATATTAGGGCTCCACGGTTGTGAGCCCATCTTGTCTGTTTTCCAGCATCATGTTGGTGGTGGTATGAAGCCTGACAGAGAATTATGTGAACCTGTGGCCCCGTTACATCTCCCTCCTATCCAGACCAAGGAGATGGTTCATTTTATGAGCCCTCGCCTTCAGAGTGGTGACAACTCAAAGGACAGCAATGGAAGGGTATGGGCTAAGGGCAGGAATGAGCAGGCTTTCTTTTCAGTGACTGTTCAGTGCGTAGGACAAACTGTCACTGAAAATCATAATCTTTCCCTCTTGGGGTGTAGTTTTTCTTTGGACTACATTTGACAGCTGCAGAGCAATTGCTTGAGTGGTTTCCCTGGTACAGAAGTCACCTTTCAGGAGATAGTGCTCAGGTTGTGCAAGAAGCCTTCTTCATGTGGGAAGGCCAGTTTAGAGCTGATCTGCACAGCAGAGCAAGTTACACATCAGTGAACATGTGCAAAGTGCATGCTTGGCAGCACAGAAGCAAAGACTACAATGTGAGTGAAAGCAAGTCTGCAAAGTAAAATGGGAGAGCCTGCTTTGCCTTTGTTCCCTTTCTTGCTGCCCTCATTCTCAATTTTCAATTCATTATGACCAATGTCTGCCCCACTTGTTTTCACATGACTTCCTTTTTGGGACTTATTCTTGGAGAGCATCTGAGTCCTTCAGAAGCAAGAAATAAGAAGCAGCTGCAATCACTGGCCGTGTGCACGTTAAGAAACAGCAAATTACCTCTCATGGCTGTTTCTTGCAGCCATGTTTTTATTCCTCCATCCCGGCCTGTAGGAACTAAGCTCCTGTGCACTTGTCTTTGTACACCTGGAAGCACTTCTGTGACTCTGTTGGTTCAAGCAGGGCTTGAGCAAGTGAAAGGTTATGGCAATGAAGTGTTACACATCTCTGGGTGTAATTGCATGTCAAAGTGAGGGAAGGAGGAATTATTCTGAAGCTCTTGGGATGTCTATGTGGCTGCATTAAAGACTATGACACTCTACAACTGTGTTCGTGATGAGGTGTTCTGTATGGTTTGTGTATCTCTCTTATGCTCTGTGATGTATTTCCCTTGCAACTAGATCGATGTTACCTTGTCCACGTCAGTTCAGAAGATCGATTGGCAGCAAATGAGAGTGAAGGAGCTTCTGTATAGAGAGAGGAAGAAAGAAAGAGAAAAGTCGTTGCAGGTCCTGGAACAGGATATTGACCCTGGGGATGCAGCTGAAGAAAGTAAGTGCTTACTACAGCTGTGGGCCTTGTGGTTCACTTGCTTGTTATTTGCATAGTGTTGCACATGCCTGCAAAATGCACTGGAATGCTGTTGGCTTGCATCTGAGTAGATAGGAAATAGGATTTCTTTCCGGTTTCCAAATGAAAAGTGAGGCATGAAGTGCCTTGCCCATGGCCCACACTGAGTCACTGAATAGCACCTTCCCCCCTTTGCGTGTGAAGTCTTTCGGACTAGATAATTCTGTCTTGCAAACTACACTGTGGCTTCAGACTATCTAACTGAAAGTAGCCTCAAGGAAAGGGGAATGGATGAGTCCAAAAGAATGCTTTTCAACCAAGGTGCAACCTGGAAGAAACAAAATTCAACTACATCTGAATAAAACTGAAAGATCTGTCTCATGTTGTAGGACATTATCCTGCTTATACCACTCCCTGGTGAGGAGCTTGCATTGCAGAACCATGCTGCAGCCCTTGGCCAGGGCTTATGATTTTTTCTGGAAAGTTCATCTGAGTAAAGTAGTGCTGGAGCTTTAAGCCCAAGCTTTTGCCCATGCTGACAGTCTCAACTGTAACACTGGTGCCAGGAGACGGCAGTTACTCAAGGGCTGAGCTCTGGTGCAGTCTGGCATGCTGTGCTTATCACGCCCAGAAGTGTGCTCCCCCAATCAAATAGCTGCTTACTTACTGCCTCAGCCCTCTGCCTGTGCTGCTGTCTGGCTCTCCAGCCAGCTTCTCTCCTATTGATTGCAGCAAGGGTTGTGTCTGCATGGGAATTAGTGACTTGGTACAATCATGCTGTTGAATGTCAAAGTGCTTAACAGCTGCAAGCCTCTCATCCCAGGGCACACAGTGAAAATTGGGAACAAGCAGTGCCTCTTCTGTCACTCCACCCAAATAAGGTGTCTGTGCATAGCAGATGACATACAGGAGAAGGGCTGCCTGGTGTTCGCAGGCTGCTCACTACCTGCACTAAATGTACGCCAGATGATGAGTCCATAGTGATTCTCATCTCTCCTTTGCGTGGACCCTACCTCGTGTTATGATCCTGAGGAGAGGGAGTTAAGAAAAAAGAATCTTGGAATGATCCTCTGAAAGTTCTGGTGATGCTACTCTGATTTTCAGATCTGATCACAAGTAGCCTGACGTGGCTGTCCGTTCACATTGAACATTGGATACTCTGTATTCCCTACAGAATATTCTACATGCTTGTAGAATGACATCATTGATGTTCATGACAGTGCCATCAGTGAAATCCAAATCAAGCCCCATCTGAATAGTTTTGATTTTGCAGTTTCCCCATACTTTGTAGAACAGGCACGGTAGCATAAAAATCCTATGGAGTCCATAGCAGTTCATCTAGATTCTGTGCAACACTTACACTCACCATTTTTAGACAGCTGTTTTCATCTACGCTCTAGAAAATGAGCTTTTGAGTGCAAGGCATGAAATTGTTGACCTGTGGTGCTTTTGATGTCCAGTGGGTTCCATTACAAATGCTTTTGTCATCTGAATTTTCTTCTGTGTTGTATATTTATCATCAAGAGAGTGTGTTTGCTAACAGTTTGCCTTCCAGGAGAATCTGCTCCAAGATTTTGCCAGGCACAGAGGTGAGACTGACTGGTCTGTAGTTCCCTGGGTCGTCCATTTTCCCCTTCTTCAAAATGGGGGTTATATTCCCCTTTTTCCAGTCGTCGGGAACTTCACCTGACTGCCATGATTTTTCAAATATGATGGACAGTGACTTAGCAACTTCATTCGCTAGCTCCTTCAGGACCCATGGCTGGATTTCATCAGCTCCCATGGACTTGTGCACATTCAGGTTCTTATGATGGTCTTGAAGCAGATCCTCTCCTACAGTGGGCCTAAGGTCTTGATCCTCACAGTCCCTGCATCTGCCTTCCAAAACTTGGGCGATGTGGTCGGAGCATTTGCCAGTGAAGACCGAGGCAAAGAATTCATTGAGAACCTCAGCCTTCTCCAAATCCCGGGTAGCCAATTCTGAGAGCTTCTGGGGAGGGTCCACGTCCCTAGTCTGTCTTTTATTCGCAAAGTACCTATAGAATCCCTTCCTGTTATCTTTCACATCCCTGGCCAATTTTAATTCTAACTGGGCCTTAACTTTTCTAACCTGATCCCGAGCTTCCCAGACAGCATCCCTGTATTCTTCCTAGGCTGCCTGTCCATTCTTCCACCTTTTTTTCATCAAAAGGTTGCTAACTTCTTTTTTCATCAAGAGAATTGCTAACAATTTGCATCTATATTTACATATTCATATTCTCAGTTCACGTTTGGAAGGCTTTTTTGTCACAACCATATAGACCAAATACTGCATTTTTCCACAAGAGAAAGCTTAGGCATTGCACAGTTTGCAAACAAGTACATTTGATGATGGATAAATGTCATCTCAGCATCTTTGAAACACAGCCAGCAGGTACCTCTGAAATAGTCAATCTTCATAATGCTTAGAAAATAGCAATATCCATAAACTGCTGCTTTTCCACTAGTATGCTAAAATGTATGTGCAGTCAGCTGTCTGCTGTCTAGGGCATTTGAAGTAAATGGAAACACGGGCACTGTGGGGTTTAGAAGGTCAGGTATCACTGTTCCCTAGTAGTTGCGCCCTGGGGACTTGCCCAAGTGCAGCAAGACTCGGTGGTTGGGGCTTGGTGCTCACTGAGGGCAGATGGAGGTGTTTCCTCAGAAGGTCACTGGGTGTCTCTGTCCTCAGTGCTCCGGGAAACAGGGAGGTGCTACATGGAGGTGTGTGGACATCTTGGGAGCTTACTTCTGAGATAGCAAGCCCTGCTGGGCACTACTGCCTCCCAGTGACCATGAGCTCTGTGGCACTCTGAATCTGCAGGCTGGCTGTGGCACCTGTATGGACAGGGGAGCTGGCTCTGTGTGTGCCAGGTTTACACAAGGAGCGGGTGCCCAGCTGTGGGTGCCTGGAGGATGGCTGGGTACTGGGTCAAGCAACGAGCCAGAGAGCAGGGAAGTCTCTGGGCCAATGCCAGTCTGCAGCCCAGTGATTTTCTTGGCTGAGAGCTGGGGTTGGAGACTTCTTGGAGGTGGAGTGCCTTGGCCCGGGGTATGCAGCACTGGTGTCAGACCCTCTCTCTCTCTCTCTCTTACAGGAATCCCAGTGCCAGCCACTGCTCCGGACTCTGTAGAGTGTGGAGAGTTGTCAGAGCATGGAGATGACCAGGAAGCCAGACTCTTCCCTGATGCACAGCAGGTGCTGCTCGACACACTCACATGGCTCAGCAGTGATAACTGGTAAGAAAGCCCCATGTGCAGGCTTCCTTCTTATCAGTGTAAAGGAAAGCATCCTTTTCTTTGCCTTGGTCCACAGCAGTGCTACAGCCACAGCCCATCTATGCTGTTTCCTAGTGTTGCCTTCTGCTCCATGTAGGTTCAAGCATAATGTTCAGGGAAGACAGGAAGTTGTGGAGCAAGATGATTTGCTAGCGGAAGTCAGAAGCAGAATGGAAGTGGTCATGAGTTCATAGATGACATAGATTACATAGATGACAGCATTCTGTCACAAGTTCCATGATTTAATTAAGTGCTGTTTGAGAAGCACCTCCCTTTGTTTGACCTGATATGCTGGTAATTGCAGAGGGTGCAGCTTAGGTCTTTAGTGATGAGAAAAATCAATCTTTTTGGTGAAATTGCCTTTCAGGAAGGAAAAGACTCCTCAGTGTCAGACGCCTGGCTATCTGCCACTCAAAAGTCCATTTTAGGAGACTTCATGGTGTTTCCTCGACAGTCACCAGAGAGGTAAGAACATTGTATCTAACTGTATCCCACATGCGTCATCCACGGGGGGTAGAGTACATATGAGCTTGTCCATTTGTGTGTGTGCTCAGTATCTGCCTTCACTCCGAGTTTTAGGCCTCATTTTTCTAACAGCTGTGTGACCTCTCTGTAAGACTTGTCTGTCCATACAGCTGTGTTCACTGGTAGGTAGAACATCTGTCTTTCTCCTCTTTGAGCTTGGTGTCCTTCTAAGGCAATACACGAAAGGAGAAACTGAGACATTAATCAAGTGATTTGCCAGGTCCCAAGTCTCTGCCCAAACTGTAATTAAACACTGCAGCTTTTGCTTCCCAGCTTCCTCCCACTTCATCCTTCTCCTCAGCTTCCTGGAGGATTGTCTGTAGGTGTTTTGTTTCCAGTGTTTCCTGATGATGTCTTCTCCTCTTTACCTTCTGTGTGCTTTTTGATAATTTGCCCTTTCCATTGAGCTGTTGCGCCTGTGCACCATTGGAAGTTTGCAGTGCAGGGTATTCAGTGTTTGTAAACCTCTTTGTTGTGGTTTAAGGCCAGGCAGTAACTCAGAACCATGCAGCCCCTCACTCTCTTCGCTTTCTTCTTCTCCCCATCCACTCCCGGAGGGTTGGGGAGAAGATTCGAAAGAATGTAACTCCCACAGGTTGAGATAAGAACAGTCCAGTAACTAAGGTATAATGCAATACTACTACTACTGCCACCTCTAATAATAATGATAAGGGAAATAAGAAGGGGAGAGATTATGAAACTGAAAGGGGAAAAGAAAACAGTAAACAGCAGTAATGAACAATACAAGTGCTCTCCACCCACAGACAGATAGCCAGCCAGACCCCAGCAGGGATCTGGCTTTCTGGGTGACTCCCCCCAGTCTATGTACTGGGTATGATGTGCTGTGGTATGGAGTACTCCTTTGGGTAGTTTGGGTCAGGTGTCCTGTCTCTGCTTCCTCCTGGCTTCTTGTGCCCCTCCTCACTGGCTGAGCATGATAGACTGAAAATTGCTTGATAGAGTAAGCATAACTTAGCAACAACAAAAAGCATTGGTGTGTTATCAGCGTTGTTCTCAGACAAAAGCTGAACACACAGCACTGTACCAGCTACTAAGGAGAAAAATAACAATTGGAGCTGAACCCAGGACTCTTCTGCAAATTTAGTTGCCTGTGATAGTCACAACTCTTTCTTCCCAGTCATTGTAGAATGTCACTGTCT